GGAAAGGAAAAAATATGAGAAAAGGAAAAAAATGGAAACAAAGTCTTTGCAAATAGGGAAGGGTGGAGGGGGTGAAGGGAGGGCAAGGGAAATGGGGAAAAAAATCAGAACCAAGATACTCATGTAATGGTACAAGATCCCAATGATGAATGTAACTGTATTTTATAACTAAAATGTACCAATAAACTTAATGGGAAAAAAAAAGAAGAAGAAACAATGGTTGTCTACATCCTAAGGCATGAGGACTCCATCAAGTATAAGCAATTCCTGGAACTTGGTCGAATTGATTAAAGCACGAAGCCGTGTCCTCAGTGCAAGCACTTTACAACCTTTAAGAAAAAAGGACATATTCCTACCCCTTCCAGATCAGAGAGCAAATACAAAATCCAGTGCCCACTTGCCAGTTAGTCTGGTGTTTTAAGTGCCACTCTCCTTGGCACGAAGTTGTCAATTGAAAAGAGTACAAAAAAGGAGACAAATTGCTGCGTCACTGGGCCAGCGAAATTGAGCATGGGAAAAGGAACGCCCAGAAGTGTCTAAAGTGCCAGATTCACATCCAGAAAACCAAAGGTTGTGACCACATGACCTGTTCACAGTGCAACACTAATTTTTATTACTGATGTGGGGAGAGATACCGCTAGCTCTGGGTGTTTGGAGACCACACATCAAACCTCAGTATACTTGGATGCGAATATCGCTACCTCCTAGAGAGACCCCATTTACGGAGACTAGTGTGAGGGTCAGAGTGTGCTGGAAAATTATTCACTACACCTCTAATCCCAGTTTTGGGATTAGCACTAGGGGCCATAGCAATTGTAATTGGGTTATTTTTATTTCCCATCAATTGCCTCTGTAAAAAACAGAGAAAGCCGTTTCAGACTGGTATGGACTAGCAGAGTGCAGAGGGCTTCACCTGACGGGCTGTGTCCCACCCAGGAGGAGCCTCTGCCATCGTCCTGGCCCTCACGGCCACAAGGCCTCTACCAAGGTGCACTCCCACCATGGTGTCCTGCCCTTTGCTAAACCAATTGCTGCTTTTCAAAAATGGTCACTTTCATAAACTGTAAGTACCTGTATCATAACTCTGACCTTTGTGGTTCTTGGAAGAAAATATTTTAAGTGAGAACCAGTCATCCTTAGCATTGTTCTGAGAGTGGATCTCCTGAGGGTTGTTTGAACTGTCTTTGAGCCCTGAGCCTTCTGGCCTGTCTGTGAGACTCAGTGTGAATGGTGACACAACAAGTGAGGCCGCTTTTCAGAATCCACAGGTTCACTGAAAGCGCCTGTTCTCATGTGTGGCCCAAGCAGTAGAATTCCTCCTTCCTTCAGATACTGTAATTGCTACAAATTTCTGTGCCCAAAAGGGAACTGATGAAACTAAATGAATAAGAAGACTCGTGAGTCACTGCAATGTTTGTGTATAGGGTTGTGAATGTGTGTGTATATAAGTATCTATTAAAATGGAGCTCAGTTAAAAAAAAAAAAAAGAAAGAAAAGAAACCAGGCTTGGTGTCACACACCTGTGATCCTAGCACTCAGGAGGCTGAGGCGGATTGCTCTAAGCTTGAGGCTACCCGGGGGTGACATAGTAAATTCAAGTTCAGCCTGGGATATATTGTGATATGCTATCTCAAAAACCAACAAGAAATAAATTAGGGCAGATGTAGTAGCACAGGTCTATAATCCCTACACTCAGGGAGGCTGAGGCATGAGGATAGCAAATGTAAGCCCAGCCTGGGCAATTTAGCAAGATCCTGTCTCAGAATAAAACATAAAAACAGCCCGGGATGTAGCTCAGTGGAAGGCCCAGGGTTCAGTCTCTGGTGCCAGAAAAAAATTGTTTTAAAAAGGTGAAGTAGTAAAGAGGAAATACAGGAGTTTTCAGGATGCACCAGAGCTCTGAGTGAGGCTCTGGCCAGAAAGGTCCAGGGCGGGTTAGGGGAGGGAAGGAGGGAGATACTCACTCTCCTGCTCCTGCCTGGTGCCTCCTTAGATGACCTCAGGCTAGAGAAAGCAAAATCTGATGTTTTAGGCAGATGGTAGGCAATTGAAGAGGTCTTCTATACAAGCTGAACAGGGCATTATTCACAAGGAAGGCAGCAATAAATGCAGCACATGGGGTCTGAAACACATCCCATTGTTTAATCGATGAGATCCACTGATTAATTCCAGTAGCCAACGGTACTTTATCTGTAACAACTTAGAGTTTATTTTCTCTCAGCACTACTCAGTGGGCAATGATCATGCAGACCGTGCTTCCTGGATTAAGTATTATGTACGTGACGTGACCACAAGAGGGGGCTAAAGCCACTGAGCTGAAGCTATTGGACCTTGTTGCTAAATAAAGGTTCCCAAATCAGTTCCTTTCCAGTCAGTGCTGGGCTGCTTTTGCAAGCACTCTGATGAGCAAATGAAGGGTGTGTGGCATGGTACATTACACAGAGCTTTTCAGTTGGTCAAATGCATGGTCTATAAATCCCAGGTATAGCTATATAATGAAGAAAGACAAATCTCCATTTCTTTTCTATAGTGAGAAAAATATGAACATTTGATAGAAAATTCTCCTGTATTAGATAAAGTGCTTTCAATTTTATATTTCTTAAAATATCTTTATAATTTAAACCTCATTATGTCAATCTTTCAATTACTGGTTATAGTATAAAGTACTTTTTTTTTTTTTTTAGACAGGGTCTTGCTATGTAGTTCAGCCTGGCCTTGAACTCACTATGCAGCCTAGGTTGGCCCCAAATGGTGATCCTCTTGCCTCACCCTCCTGAGTGCTGAGATTACAGGCATGCACCGCTATGGCCAGTCTTAATTTTTTCCTAGTAACTGTTAGGCAAAAATACTTTCAATTTAGTCAAGGATAGGTGATGACATGAATATCAAGACATTATTCTCTCCTTAGGTCAATTAATTTATACTTAGGCAAGATTATTTCTCTTCAAAAAACAAAAAATGCAATTTAAGATTGTAGACCAGCTAAATTGTTCTCCACAGACCAGAGTGTTGGAAACAGTGTGGTCACAAAGAGTCAGAATGGGAAGAGAAAGCTTCATAGAAAAGAGTAAATTGTGAGCCACTGCTGAATACATGAGGCCAAATGGAGAGAAACTACCAACAGAGAGGACAGTGAAAATAAAAACAGAGAGAAGGGACATCAGCCCAATAACTCAGAGGATAAAACCCAATGGCAGGGGGATAAAGTGTGCACACAGTAACTGGTGAATGTCTGTAATAGCGTTAATTGCAGCCAAAAATGTTCTATCAACTAACCATGGGTCCTTCAACTGAACAGTAGATGCATGAGGTAGCCACATAATAGAGTACACAACTCTATAACAGAAAGAAATGAGCTATAACTCATTTCAGGTAAACCCTGAAAACATTATGCTAAGTGAAAGAAGCCAATCACAAAGGATAAATGTGAGCCCAGTGTGTTGGTGCATGCCTGTAATCCCAGCACTCAGGAGGTTGAGGCAGGAGTATGCTCTGAGTTCCAGGCCGGCCTGAGCTACATAGCAAGACCTTGTCTCAGAACAAACAGTAACAATAACAACAAAACCAAAACCCAGGACAAATGTGTATGACTCTATTTATATGAAATGGCCAGGACAAGGAAAATAAACACACAAAAAAAGACTGACAGCTTCCTAAGACTGGGGAAGATGGAGAGACAGCTGAGGGATTTGGGGTTTCTTTTCAAGGGAATGAAAATGATCTATAATTGACTGTGGTGATGCTTATGTGACTAAATAATATTAAAAGATGCTCAATCTTACACTTTAAATGAGTATCTGCATTATAGCTCAATAAGGTTGCTTTTAAGAAAAATCCAATGGCAGAATTTAGACAATTTTCTTAATTCTTTATTTTAGATATAAATACATGATCTGAATACTTCCATACCTTTACTTTAAAATGAAAGAAAAGTGAAGGAAATGCTTAACTTTCCAATTAGTTTTTAAATTACACACTCCTTGTTTAATGACTGAGTTACATTTCTGAGACTAAGGAACATCGTTAAATGAGGAATTGTACATAGCATGTACATCACAATATTCAGAGCAAAGAAATGGTCAAAGGAAACTCCAACTTGATGACTTTGCTTTTATCTGCATAACTCTTACGTGCAGTATTGTAATGTATAACAGAACATAAAAGTACAGTAAGGTACTGTACAGTAAAATCAGCAAAAATTACAGTACTCTCTAAACGAGTTGCACAGCACAAAAAAAGTATTGAGACTCTCTAGACAAGATGTACAGAACTGTACAAAACAAAAAGATGGGTTGTAAGACCAAGGGGTGGGTTATAACCCTGAAGAGCGCACTTCAATCATAAGTCTGAACAACTGTTAAATAAATATGCTGTTAAATGAGAAACATCTGTATCCTAAAACATTTGCATTTTTGAGAAAAGGAAACACTTTCTATACAGCTCATCTTGAAATCCATGATATAAATGTACAACGATTCTATATTCACAAAAGTGAAGGTAAGAAATAAGATAAAGTTCTGAAATATTTTGTTAAACATTATCATCTGATTGAATCTGCCTATATCACCATGATGACAGAGACATCACTAAAAATACTGCTTAATATGAACAAGTCTCTCAACTTCGCTGTAATTCTCAACCTTCCTAAGGTCAAATATTTCAAGGAAAGATGTGAGAAATTATAAGAAAAATGGCCGAAAGAAAGTAAGAGTAATTTATAGTATAAAGATAATAAAATTATAATAATCATAATGAAAACTATCCACTGCAATCAGTATCCCAAAACACTATATTATTTAAGCAGCTATAGAGTAACAGTTGACATGTTAAATTTCATACATACTAGACTTCTGATATGACTTAGTTTCTTCTTTAAATCCCGTGTCTCATCTTCTAAGTTAATGTGATAAAGTGAAGAAACTTCCAGTGAAGCCTCTGGCATAGATTGTTTTTTTAGGGCATCAGCCAGTTCTTGCTGAAGTTGTCTCACAACTACCTGATAAGATATTTCAGTTACTGATTTCATAAATCACCTTATCATTATGTTAATATTTAACTCACATACATTCTGAAAAATATCACCATGTACATCAGTTCCTCTTTCCAAATCATCTTCATGTATATGCTCCTGTTTATTGCCAAGTTCACTTAGGGACATGGAAGGTGGTGTTTTTCTGCCCAATCACTATTCTGTTACTTGAACACTAGAGTCAACCCTCTATCCACTCCCTCTCTGATGAATTTGCAATGTTTACAGCCTACTTAAATCTCAAGAAGAAATGGGGGCGGGGGGGGGGGAAGAAATAGGTACATGGGTGGGACTGGTGGTGGTAAATTCCACATATTTTCCCTCATTTTTGTTAGAGGCTCAAATTAACTTTTGAGTTATATTAGAGTTTATATTCAACCCTCTGCTCAAATCTCTCCACTAGGTGCCCATCTCATAATAAAAGTTAGTTCCTAGGTAACATGGCCTTCATCTCTTTCCCTGACCTCAGCTGATACAACTCTCTCCCCTACGTGCTCCATTCCTGCTGTACATGAATCCCTCCACCCAAATTCCTTAGCCTGAAAATGGAGATTCAATGTCAAAGTGATATCACAGATTGCTACAGTTATCTTTGTATTGGATAAATTTACAACACAATAGGAAGAGCCTTGAAGTAAAAAGTACAAGAAAGTTACTTGGGAAAATGTTCAATAAATGACATGTACCAGTGAGAAGATTAAATCAACTATGGTTTTGCTGTAAATTGCCACATTTTCCCCAATTTATGATTTAATGAAAAGTTTATGCCTTTTAAAGAGTCGAGAGGTCATAAGAATATATAATTTGAGATAAACATTTTCAGATTTAGGTTGTGCCAACTTAAATAAAAATAAAATTATAACAGAAATATATATATAGAGAGAGAGCTACAGAAGGAAAACTATCATAAAATATGGCATCTATACTTCAATTCATCTGGGAAATCTGGAATGAACTGTGGAAATAACCCATTTAATTGAATCTTAATTTAAAAATGAGCATTTCCATTCATCTTCTTCATCATGGTTTTAAAATACAGCAACACAAGGGCCGGAGATTTAGCTCAGTGGTTCTGCTGCCTGCCTCGCAAGCGCAAGGTCCCGAGTTTGATCCCCGGTACCAACAAAAAAAAATAATACAGCAACACAAAGATCAAAATCATTTCATGGCAGGGTGCAAGTCAGGGGTACAATATGCACAAAGCCTTGGGTTCAATTCCCAGCTCTAAAAACAACACGAAACACCTCCAAAACCTCTCAGATCTAACTTTTTGTGTGGATTTCAAATTCAGTTCTATTTAACTCTGAAAGTTTAAAACAATGTTTAATGAAGACATGATAATTTTTAATTTTCCATATTTCTGAGGTACAGGGTGACAACTCAGAATGTGCACAAATGTGTGCTGCTGGGGTCAGGGCAACAGGGACACAAGTCACTTCAGGGCTCACTTTGTTGGGAATCAGATCTAAGTTGTATTTGCTGCAAATAAGGTATGTTTCTGGGCTGATACAGGAGGTACATTTATAAATGATATACTTTTATATCCAACTAGATCAAACATTTATCCATAGTGAAATTTCACTTTGAGTTTCCTTCAGGAAGTTTGACATTTACCTTTCTTGATACTTACTTCTTTTTCTGCTTTCTCCTTTTCATACTGATATGTGTTTTCTTTTAAATGATTACATTCATCCATTACCTCTTTATTTCTGTCTTCCAGCTTGAGAGTTTGTTTTTTACTCTCACCTAGAAGTGTCTTCACAGTACCATGAAACTGGTTTTGGATATTTATTAGTGTCCTTTCTTTATAGTCAAGTTTTTTGTGAGTATCATCCAACTGATGTCGAAGCAATGCATTTTCACTTTCTAGCTGAGATAACCTCTCTTCTATAGATTCCTGTGTTCCCATGTATTTATTTACTTTCCCTTCTTCATCCTGATTCATGTGTTTAATTTCTTTCATTGGACACTGTGTTTGCTTCACGTCTCTTTGTATCTGTTGTAAAACTGAAGTATTTTCTCTAAGAGCATCTCTTATAAGACGGAGCTCAATTCCTAGGCTACTGAATTTTCTTTCAGCTTGAGAAAGCTGTTGGGAAAGCATCTCATAGTTATTTTTTAGGTTAGATATAGCAAAATTCAGCTTGTCCTGTAAACGAACCTGCTCATTCCTTCCTCTCTGGGAAGCAAGTTCCACATCTCTATTTGATGTCTGACTTTCATAATTATGTCCAGCAGCACCCAGACTGGAACGGTGTGATTCAGTTTCTGTTTCCGGTCTTTCCTTGATTTGTTTTTCTTTCTCCAGTTTAGAATTTAGCAGTGTATTTTCTGTCAGACTATTAAGCTGTCCATTACATTGAAATATTCTTTCCTCAGTCAGTTTTATTGTCTTTTGAAGGTCATCATTCTTTTCATGTTCAATTTCAGTATCTTCCAGATATTTCTTTTCCTTTACCTGGTTCTGATTTTTTATTGCATCTCTTTCTAGTCTTAATCTGGCAATTTCAACCTGCAACCTGTGATTTTTAGGCAATAGATCTTCATGACTAACAGAAACCTAAGTAAAACAAAGGAGACATTTAGCTAGCCCTCAATAGAATGACATATTGCAATTTCCTCTGAAATTAAATAACCTACATAGTTATACAATGAAAGGCCTACAATAAATAGATATCCAACTGAGTAAAAGTTTTCAGACATGTATTCATCTCACAGGAGATCGAGACCCACTGCAGGGGTCACTGACAATGTTCTCTATAATCTACGAATATAAGATTTGGAGGATTAAATAGGTGATATCACTTTATTGAATTTAGCAAAAATAAAGATCACATTTTTCAGTTCTTTAAAATCAATTACAGGTAATTTAAAAGTATGTAATTTCTAACATATAATAGAGTTTCTACTCCCATTCAACTCTTGTTTTTTATAATATTTGATTTTGACTCTCAATCTTATTAGGAAATTTTATCTTGCCTTGTAAATGAGTCTTCTCATTCAATCTCAGCTTCATATTCATCTTTCTTTATTGTTTCCCAATTCTTTCCTTCTAAAATGACATACCTAAGAACATTTTACTCCTATCAACTTTTATAAATCTCAATTCTGAACATAAATCTCTCCTATTATACTTGTTTTCTACTACTATGATCTTATGGCTCTATATTTCTTTCTAGAATCTTTGCCATCATAGGTGACTAAAAAATCATGGGGAAAAGTATTTTTAAGAAGATCTTACCTTTGGGTCAGGTGTTGGTGATAAAAAGGAAGACTGAGAAAAGCTCTGGACATTGACTGATGTTTTAGAAAGAGTTACAACTACATCATTACTCTCACTATGAGAAATACTGTTGTCAAGCAAGGTTTTGTTTCCCGGTTCCTCAATGCCATATTTTGCTTCTACAACAATAAAAACAAAGTAAATTGTACATAAAAATATCTACAACTTCAAATCAATGAATAGCACAGGGGTAGGCAGTCTTTATCAAATTGCTTACGATGTTTTCTGGATTGCTGAACAGCAGGCCATAGCTCAGTAGGATTTATTTGGGGGACCTTCTAGAAAAAAAAAATAGCTTTAAGAATCACAAGTATCAAATCTGATAAAATAATATTCATCATTACTACATGATCTAACATTGAGAGCCTAGGTTTTGGAATCATTCAGATGTAGATTCAAACCCCAATCTGCCATTTACTAATCTCCATCTTCTTCATGGGGTGAAGGCTATGAAGGATGATAGAGACAGCCCAAAATGTTACTCCCCATACCTCTAGTTAATTATATAAGTACTAGGACATTTCCTAGACTATTTTCTCAAATAACCAAAAACTAATATTTATCCCTCTGTAGTTTCGAGTACTTTGAAATAACATTTTATGAAATAAAAATTCATTTTGTTATATTTTGAATTTGTTTGCATGATTTACATTTCCATGAATTACCTCATGAGGAGAAAAATTAAGAGTTTTTAGTGGTATCTTATTTAGATGGGTTAGAATTACAAATAGTTGTAATAGTTGTAAGTTGTTTCTATTCTGTATGTCAAATAGGTAATGACAAATGATTATATCAATTTAGCTCCTTCCAGGAAAGACAGGAAAAAAGACAAGAATAAATCCTGTGGAGCAGTGATTGATAAATCAAAGACACAATCATTAAACAGAAAGATGTAATTAAATATGTCATGAACATGAAGGTGGACTGAAAGAATAGACATTGCATAAGTGTTTTCTGCAAAGAAAACCTTAGGGTTAGTGGTAAATCATTTAAAAGAGGTAAGAAAGGACAAACACACACATATGCACAGACTGGGGTGGGGGCAGAAGATAGAACGCAGAAAAGAGAGAAGAGAGAGATGACCAGTAAACTGAATATGAACTTAAACCAAGGAAGAAAAGGAAAAATATTAAAAATAAGGTATGTAAAGAACTAGACTTTTGTTCTCTTTTTAAAAATCACCAGTTTGTATTCTACTATAGTTATTTTTATAAATACTAAAATGATTAATTTAATTACTAGAACATGATTCAATTAAACATGCCATCAACCACTACCTGAGAAATGCAGCATTGGTACTAGAGAGAGAAGATAAAATGTTCCACCAATTTTCCATTTAGAGAAAGAACTGCTAATCAGAATCCTAAAGAGAAATGCACATCTTGAAAAGATGTATTTAGTAGAACATGGAGGGTGCTAAAAAGTTTAAGATATTTTGATATAAAATCCTAACCTAAGTTCAGAGTTAAAGGATACTAGAATGTACTGTAACCTCTCCTATTTATATACCTCTAATTTTGTTTCCTTCTTATTTATGACATATTTCTGCAAGAAAACTCACCTTACATTATATATCCTAAACATTAAAAGGAAATATAATTTAGGCCATACTTTTAGAAATTTAATAGACTTGACTATTACATAAATCATGCATACACTACTTGTATAATTATAAAAATCCACTTATTCTAGAAGTCCATTTATTGACATTAAAAATATTGCTTCTTAATACAAAACACCTTATTCCAAGTGTTCAAGATATGCACAAACATGTTTCCTAATCTATAGTATTGCACAGTAATGGAAAAGCTTTAAAATGAATATTTTGAAGTACAAAAACTTCTCAAACTTGAAATGTTAAAATGAGATACAAGGATTCTGATTGGATATTTTTAAAAACTATAAAGAAAACAATTTCGTAAAGCTTTACCGTATGGTTATTGAGAGTATCTAGTCCTAGAACTGATTATTATTTTGGGTAAAACAAGAATTCTTCACTCAGTTGAAGAATTTTAAATAAAGTACCCTCTTAATGGAAGAATGACTTAGAAAACAGTGCACTCAGCTGTGGTGGCATGTTGGGAGCAATGGTACATAATTTTAGGGAAAAATCATTTGATTAGACCTAGTTCTTCCACCTACAGGCCAGCTATGGCATTCCAAGACATAATTCCATTTTGGCCTCCAGTCACAACTGAGACCTCAGTGATTGGTGATGCTGTGATGCTCCAGGGCAAGACCACACCTGAGGGAGACACCCTGGGAGGAACCAAATCTTCATCTGTATAGTTCCTCATTGTTCTTGATAGGTCTCCCACCACCTCAGCAGCTATTATGTATAGTAGCTGCCCTCTTCCTATGGTGCCTTGCTCCCTCCCCTGTGACATCACGCCAATGGTTGCTCCCACCAAAGAATAAACCCTTCTTCCCAGTATGCCCCTGTTCCTGCCTAGAAAGTAACCTAATACTCACTCACCTCCTACCACCTAGTGACATCATGGGGTCCTCCATTCCCTAGTCACTACCTCACTCAACCCCACCTCAGCCCCTACAAACCCCACCCCAGTCTCTATAAAAGACTCTTCCTGACCTGGCCATATTGCTTTTGTCTCTCTTTTGTTCAGAGACAGCCCAGCAGATCCATTCCCCTAATAAAGGCTTGCTGTGGCCTGGTCTGGTTTTGGTCTTCGGCCCTTTTACCTGACAGTTCTTAGATTTCCACTGCCCCCCAATCTTTTGTTACACCTTGTTTAATCCAATGTGAAGTACTGAACTCTGCATTTCACTTGTTACAATTGTTTCTCCGGATGTACTGAATAAAAGGTGGTGCAAGCTAGGGGTCTTTGTCTTTGCTGCCCAGAGCAGCACTGATCAGACCCAAAGCTCAGCTTCTTCTCAAAGTCTCATTTTTCTATCTTTCCTGTAATTCGCCATGTACTGCCGTGGCTCACAGGAGACTAGGACTTACTGCAGAGGTTCTGGTAAAGTCCCCTTCCCCTGTTCCCTACAGTGGCACATTGATCCTAGCACTCTGGAGGTGAGGCAAAAGGACCCCAAGTTCCAGCCCAGCTGGGGCAATTTAGTGAGGCCTTGACTAAGATAGAAAGATAGATAGATAGATAGATAGATAGAGGAGTGAGGATGTAGCTTGTTGCAAAGGCCCTATGATCAACTCCCAGAAACAAAAAAACAACAAAAAATACTGTAATTCTTTGGTAATACAAATTTTAAGAAACAGATTAAAACTTCCAAGTTTAAACAATTTCTAGTATTATTTTAGTCTAAAAATAGAATCAAGAGTAGAAAAAGTTCTCATAAAGACTGTATGATACTAAAATAAAAAGTATTTAAAAGAAAAAAACATTTTATGTGTGTTAGACCCAGCGAGAGAGAACCAACTGGAGACTGATATTAAATCCACACAGGAGTTTATTACCAGCCGGGACCCAAGCTGACCATCAGACTCGAGGCCCCACTTGGGGGGAGACAAACATGTTTTATACACCTTTGAGGCCAACAGTTTCTAGGCCCCCCCCATGGGATAGAACTCGTGAAGCAAGCAAAAGGTACAGAAGTTGAACGTCCTGCTGTTAGAACATTTGTAAAACAATAGTTGGTTAGTTGTTATTTCTAAAGGGACCTTTTAAGGGGAGGAGGCTTCTAAGCTTCCTCCTTCTGAGTTCATCTAAAGGACAGGCAGGTGGGTCAAGCAGCAATATGGAGTCTGTCTTGCTAACCAGGGTCCTTCAATGGACTGTAAAGTTTTGAAAGTAAAGGCACCAAAATTCCATGATCATTATAAAGGACCCATTTTAAGATTTATTTAGGCATGAGAATTATAAAAGTCATGGTATTACTATTTAAAAGTCACCGGAAGGTATACTTATCCAAATAATCCTTGACCAAATTTCATATTTCCTCTATTGTGAGAAAGCTTTGCCTAATACAATTTTCCTGTCACTATATATTTTCTAGCTCATTACTTTTTTTCAGTCCCTGGTACCTCAGAGTACTTACCAGTTACTTACCAAACGAAAAAGAAAAAAAATTTCCTGTAAAACCATGGTAGGAAGGCCATTGCTAAATTTTAAGACTACGGCCTATACAAAGCAAAACTAAGAGGAAGAAAATTAACTTCACAAAAGAGAACTTTACCTTGTTATCAAAATTATAGTCATACACATCTGATGTATGCCAGGAATCATCAGGACAAGGTTTGTTGGAAAACCTTTAAGGAAAAAACGTAAAACAAAAGTGGGTGAATTTTGTCCTTAAAAACTAGTGAAAGATTGGCTATCTGTACACTGAATGACATTTCTTGGTTGATACAATTAAAATTTGACCTCTGTTTTAAAAAAGCTTTTAGTTACTTTTTTCAGTTTTCTTCTAATTTATGAAACAGTTAATGAAGACTCACTTTCACTCCCACATCAAAGAGAGTCAGCCAACAGACTGGCAGAGCCCAAGAACAATTTGTCATTACAAATTGCCTGACTTGAAGGCTGAACTGAAAATGCAACCAATGGCTGACATAAGTTTTGTTATCTGAACTGAAGCAAACCTGATAACCTTAAGGTAGAAAGATACACTGTCCCCGTTCCATAGTCTATCTCTGTTTCAATGACTAAGCTTGATGTGATGTAAATAGAAAATGTCCACTGTAATTCTTCTGCGTAGAAGGTGTTTGGATTATGAGGATGCTTCACTCCTCAGTGCACTCTTCCACCTGGAAATTCAGGACCTGAACATGCTCTCAGGAGGTGGGGCCTGGTTGGAGACAAGCCACTGGGCCATGAGCTGGAAGGGTATATTAGTGTCCCTGGCTCTTCTGCCCTCTCACTGTTTCCTTTGAAATTTTACCATGCATAGTATAGATCACAGTGCAATGAAACTAGAAATCAATAACAAAAGAAACCACAGAAACTATGAAAAAATGAAGAAATTAAACAATGCACTTTTGAATAATCAGTCACAGAGGAAATTAAGGAAGAAATAAGACAGTTCCTAGAATGAAATGAAAATAGAATTTATGCGACACAATGAAAACAGTCCTATGAGGGAAGTATACAGCAGTGAATGTCCACACCTGAAAAATAGAATGAACTCAAATAACCTAATGATGCATCTCAAGGTCTTAGAGAAACAAGAACAATCCAAATCCAGAGAAGGTAGTACAAAGAAGGAAATTATAAAAATCAGGGCAGAAAGCAACAAAATGGAAACTAAATAAACAATACAAAGAATCAATGAATTGAAGGGATTTGAAAGAATAAACAAAATAGATAAACCCTTAGCCAATCTTAACAAGAAGAGACACAAAATAATGCAATTAGAAATAAAAAAGGTGAAATCACAGTAGACACTGCTGAAATTCAGGTAATTATTAGCAACTACTTTACAAACAGATATGCCAAACAACTGGAGAACTCAGAAGAAATGGAGAGATTCCTAGATACATATGAACTACCAAAGTTGAACCAAAAAGATATAAAAACTCTGAATTATCCAGTCTCAGGCAAGGAAACTGGAGAATTAATGAAAAAGTACCAACTAAGAAAAGCCCAGGACCTGATGGGCTCACAGTGAAATTCCACAAGAACTTCAGGGAAGATCTCACACCAATATTCCTCAAACTTTTTAATAAAATTGAAAGATAAAGAGCACTTTGAAAATCATTCTTGGAAGCTAACACTATCCTGATCCCAAAATCAGACAAGGATCCAACCAAAACAGAGAACTACACGCTAATTTCTCTAATGAACATAGATATAAAAATCCTTAACAAGATACTGCAAGATTGAATGCAACAAATCATTAAAAAGATCTTACACCATGACCAAGTAGGTTTCATCCCATGGATTCAAGGATGGTTCAATATACACAAACCAATAAATGTAATTCATCACATAAATAAAAGCAAGGACAAAAATCACATGATCACCTCAACAGATGCAGAAAAAGCATTTGACAAAATCCAACATGCATT